AGTTCGTTATTTTTCGTTTAGACATTTTATTCCGATCACGCTTGATTTACACGGACAAAATGACATTTGGACTGGTTTAAATTTGTGTACTTTTTTAAGCGAGGTTAAGGTATAGAAAATGTAAACCAGACAGCAAGTGCGCGCATGGTTTATAACTCGGCTTCCTGCGAATATTACCCCCAATTTATATTTCGGATTTTCCTGACAAGCGTATTCCATTTTTTCTTCAACTCGCAAAAAATTGCGAGTAGTCATGAATCTAACTCGCAAAATCATTTTTCAACTAGCATTTTGCGAGTTTGCGAGTGTTAAATTCGAGCCCTGCTCTTGTTTAAATTTTTTTGCAGGGTATGAAGGAAATTGAATTAAAAGCATATTAAAAGCATATATCAAATATTACAACATATTCCAAATGAAAAATACTGTTATTTACATTCACGTCAGAACCCGTAATGTTGAGATTGTTCCGTAATCAGAATACCCTGCTGATTAATCTTTGAGTTACATTAAAAATGGCGATATCCAATTTCAAATAAAAATAATACTGAAAATATAGAAATACATGTATATATATATATATATTTGTGCCCCCACGTTAGTGGCGGGCATTTAGATTTACCCTTGTCTGTCCGTCCGTCCGTTCACTTTTGTGTCGCATGTAACTCAAAAAGTATTTGACCTAGAGTCATGAAACTTTACAGGAATGTTGATCAGCATGTGTTGTTGTGCACCTGGGTATTTTTGTCTGGATATTTTTAGTATTTTCAGAGTTATTGCCCTTGACTTAGTAAAATTTTGCAATTTTCAACTTGTGTCGCATGTAACTCAAAAAGTATTTGACCTAGAGTCATGAAACTTTACAGGAATGTTGATCAGCATGTGTTGTTGTGCACCTGGGTATATTCGTGTGGATATTTTTAGTATTTTCAGAGTTATTGCCCTTGACTTAGTAAAATTTTGCAATTTTCAACTTGTGTCGCATGTAACTCAAAAAGTATTTGACCTAGAGTCATGAAACTTTACAGAATGTTGATCAGCATGTGTAGTTGTGCACCTTGATATTTTCGTGTGGATATTTTTAGTATTTTCAGAGTTATTGCCCTTGACTTAGTAAAATTTTGCAATTTTCAACTTGTGTCGCATGTAACTCAAAAAGTATTTGACCTAGAGTCATGAAACTTTACAGGAATGTTGATCAGCATGTGTTGTTGTGCACCTGGGTATTTTTGTCTGGATATTTTTAGTATTTTCAGAGTTATTGCCCTTGACTTAGTAAAATTTTGCAATTTTCAACATGTGTCGCATGTAACTCAAAAAGTATTTGACCTAGAGTCATGAAACTTTACAGGAATGTTGATCAGCATGTGTAGTTGTGCACCTGGGTATTTTCGTTTAGATATTTTTAGTATTTTCAGAGTTATTGCCCTTGACTTAGTAAAATTTTGCAATTTTCAACTTGTGTCGCATGTAACTCAAAAAGTATTTGACCTAGAGTCATGAAACTTTACAGGAATGTTGATCAGCATGTGTTGTTGTGCACCTGGGTATTTTTGTCTGGATAGTTTTAGTATTTTCAGAGTTATTGCCCTTGACTTAGTAAAATTTTGCAATTTTCAACATGTGTCGCATGTAACTCAAAAAGTATTTGACCTAGAGTCATGAAACTTTACAGGAATGTTGATCAGCATGTGTAGTTGTGCACCTGGGTATTTTCGTTTGGATATTTTTAGTATTTTCAGAGTTATTGCCCTTGACTTAGTAAAATTTTGCAATTTTCACCATGTGTCGCACGTTACTCAAAAAGTATTTGACCTAGAGTCATGTAACTTTACAGGACTATTGATCAGCATGTGCAGTTGTGCACCAGGTATTTTCGTCTGGATTTATTTAGTATTTTTTGAGTTATTGCCCTTCACTTAGAAAATTTTTGCAATTTTCAACTTGTGTCGCAAGTTACTCAAAAAGGATTTGACATAGTCATTAACTTATGGGCAGGTTGCTCAGCATATTGAGATTTGCACCTGGAGTTTCGCTTGTGGATTTATCCAGTATTTGTAGAGTTATTTCCCTTGACTTAGTAAAAAGATTGACAGAACAGTGGCGCAGTGGGGGCACCGGCGTGTCCTATGGACACATTTCTAGTTTTATTTGTTTTTTATTTGATTTCCTTTTAGTTTTAGATATCCATGTAGTCTATAGCCAGGCAAGCTTAAGCAGGGGCCAGGCCTTTGACTTTCCAATATTAATTTTCCACCCCCTCTGGAAAAAAATACTGGATCTGTATCAGCTAACTTTGATTTCTGTGTCATACCTGTAAAAGTCATGGAGATCTTTTAAATTATCTGTCAAAAGAACTAAAATGTCATTAAATGTACAGTATATATATATAGATGTTTCATATCCTTGCCATGACATTTTTAAATGGGAAGGCAGGGTATTTTTTCAACATTAAATTTGGGGATATTAAAAGGTATTTTTGCAAAAATGGAAGAGAAAACTTTATATAATTTGACTTCTAAGGGTTTCATACATGATTTAAAAAATCATTTAAATGGAAATACTATCCGGTGCCAGGAAATGACCCCGTTTAAGAAATGGGAAAAAACATTGGCGATCTTGGCCTACACTTAAAATTTCATAGACATATATTAATAAGTGCAATCACCTGGCATATGTCATTATATGCCATATGATAGTTCGAGTCCTAGTCAGGACAGTGTGGCAAATAAAATTTGGCCACTTTTTTAATGGCATAAATAGACAATCTGTGATAGTTGTATTTGTAGATAAAATAGAAATGCTTTCAACCTGGCAAGATTTTGTCAAGGAAAGGTGTGGTTCTGAGATTTCAATTTGTGAAATGTTGTTGATCACAGCATGTATCGTGGACTAACCAGTTCTCAAACCTCTAAGCATTCAAGAGGTCTTTTAATGTAAATAAAAATATATCTTTATAAAAATTCTTTACATATGTACACTTTAATCTTTATGTAACATTTCTGTAAAATTTGACTGAAATTCAACCATTAAAAAAGCACTATTTCCATCTTGGAAAAGCACAACCCTCTGTTTTAAAACTAACATGGCCTCTTAAAATAAAGAACCTAATCTCAAACCCCTTCAAGTATCTCTAAAATTCTACTGTTTAGTTTAGCCAATGAAGTGATTGTTATAGGACTATCACATGACAATGAAGTACCCTACACGATGCAGTTACCTGCTTTAAGATATTTTGTCTATAATATTCATTTTCACAAATAGTTAATGGTGTATTTATGGGACTTACAAAGGTAATAGCAATTTGTATGAAATTACGCTAAGTAATAAAATATGTTATGTAAATATTTGTACCTATGCACTGTTTTCATTTGACATCAGCAGAAATGTCTGTCAGAAACTAAGCTTTTATGCACACATAAGTTCAGAACATCATAGTCACTTCTAGTAAAAAAATAACAGCACATGAATGAAAGGTTTGAGAATAGGTTGGGTGTGAGATTAGGTACTTATACGATATATAAAAACATAAATACCTTAATGATAAGATAATTTAATAGTAAGAATAGAATAAAGTCTGTACAGACTTACATTATAAGTAAAATGTCAAAAACATCTTTCCAGAGCTTTTTAGTCCCCTACTTGTTTAACCAGAGGGGACTTTAGGTTTACCCTCCGTCCGTCTGTCCGAGCAAACATTTTGGGTTTAGGGGCTATATAACAGTAAAGAGAACAAAAGAGAACAATTATGGTTCATTCCGTGATCAAAGGGTTTATGGGCTAGTAGCCCTTAAGAAAACAAAGAAAGTAACAAAGAAAATAGCCCCTAAACCCAAAATGTTGGAATGTCCATCTGTCGGTCCGTCAGTCCTTCCGTCCACAAAACTGGATCCCGAGATAACGCAAAAAGTACTAAAAATATTTTTATGAAACTTAATATATGGATAGATGGCAGTATGGAGACTATGCACGTCTTTTTCTTTTCTTCCTATGTTGAAAATTCGCAACAAATAGTCTGAAAATATGGCAAATTTAACAAATAAACTGGATCCAGTGATAACTCAAAAAGTACTGAAAATATTTTTATGAAACTTGAAATATGGGTAAATGGCAGTCTGGAGATTATGCACATCTTTTTCTTTTCTTCCTATGTTGAAAAAATTCTGGTTGCTATGGCAACAAATAGTCTGAAAATATGGCAAATTTAACACATAAACTGGATCCAGTGATAACTCAAAAAGTACTGAAAATATTTTTATGAAACTTGAAATATGGGTAGATTGGCAGTCTGGAGATTATGCACATCTTTTTCTTTTCTTCCTATGTTGAAAATTCTGGTTGCTATGGCAACAAATAGCCTGAATTTCAAGATTTCTGATTTAAATTTTTCAGCTTTTTCACTGTAAGTTCTTTATTTCTTAAGGTGTTTACTTCAAATTTTAAATATAAGTTTCTGGTCATCAACCAATTTTAAATATAAGTTTCTGGTCATCAACCACATCATATGTGACAAGGTTTATAACTCTAGCACAAAAATTATCAGTATTACCTCCCTTGAACTTAGAATTTTTATGGAAAAAAAATGTCTTTTTTAAATAATTTCTTTATTTCCTAATGTATCTACTTCAAACTTCATATATATGTTTCTTATTATCAGTCAACATTTTTGAGAAGGTTTAATACTCTAGCAAGACTATTTCCAGAATTATGTCCCCCTTGAACTTAGATTTTTTCGAGAAATTGGTATTTTTTACTCCAACTTGATCTTCATTCCTTATAGGATTTACTTTAAAATCCCACATCGTAATAATATGACAAGGTTGTATAAACATAATTTCCTTACTAGGCAGGGAAACTTAACACATTACTGTGATATAGACAAACTTAGAACTCAAAAGATTTAAGTTCATTCATGTCATTCATTCAGTGGTAAAATTGAATGGCTAATGGCCCATCACAATGTTGCTGGGGTTCTAACCGGTAGGGGACTTATGGTATGATAATTGCTTGTTTTTTCAATTTTAGGTGTATGTTGGCAACAAGTGGGGTTAAATATGGAGACAAGGAGCGAAATAAAAGGGGAATCTGGAAACATTCCTTATATGTTTGTGGTAAAAACTTCTTCCCTGAAACTACAAGAGCTAAACCATTTTTAGGGTGAGCTTTTAGGATCTTTGAATGTCTGTCGTCTGTCCATATTTGTTTGTTAACACTCTAGCGGTCACATTTTTGACTCATTCATCATCAAACTTTGTCAGGATGCTTGTCTAGGTAATTGCTCAGATGAGTTCGAAAATGGGTCATGAAAGTTTACAGGACTGTTGATCACTGTCGGGTACTTGAAGCGGTGCAGATTTTCCGTGATGTAAAAAAGGGGTCTAAGAGTCAAGGGTCTAGAAGTCATCCTTATAATTATGCCAAGGAGTCTAGAAGTCAAGGGGTGAAAGTGCCTTAATTGCCTCTTTATTACTTGTCCAAAAATCTATCGTAATATAAAATAATTATATCTTCATATTAAGGGGAAAAAACAAATGAAATATTTTTGCAAAAAAACAATTGAAATGCTTATTGGGCATGGAATTATTACCTTCTTAAAAGGAGTTGGAAAAAAGTAATATTTTGGCACAGTCAAAATTATTTCAGTTTTTACTTAGAATATTATAATTTTTCATGATAATCTTGTCAATATAAAAATTTTCAGTGCTTTTAAACAGTTGATAGTCATTACTTTCATATTCTGAAACTAAAGTTGCTTAAGGTCATGAAAGTAACATAAATGCTTAATTAGTCCCCTACCGGTTTACCGGAGGGGAGTTTAGGTTTACCGTCCGTCTGTCTTTCCGTCCGTCAGTCCGTCCGTCCACAAAACTGGATCCCGCGATAACGCAAAAAGTACTGAAAATATTTTTATGAAACTTGATAATGGATAGATGGCAGTATGGAGATTATCCATGTCTTTTTCTTTTCTTCCTATGTTGAAAATTCTGGTTGCTATGGCAACAAATAGACTAAAAATATGGCAAATTTTACACATAACCTGGATCCAGTGAAAACGCATTAAGTACTGAAATTATTTTTATGAAACTTGAAATATGAGTAGATGGCAGTCTGGAGATTATGCACATTTTTTTCTTTTCTTCCTATGTTGAAAATTCTTGTTGCTATGGCAACAAATAGACTGAATTTCAAGATTTAGTGTTAACGTTTTTTCACTATAAGTTCTTTATTGCTTAAGGTATTTTCTTCAAACTTTAAATATAAGTTTCTAATAATTTTAATTTTAATAACTTCTTTTTTTTCTGAATGTATATACTTCAAACTTCATATCTATCAGGGTTCTCAATATTTTTCAGCTCAGCAGGCCAAATTTGAATTCTAGCAGGCCTCCTAGGGGGGAAAATTTTGAAATTAAGCACTTGATTTCCTACATTCTAGGCCATATTTTGGCAGTTTAAAACTATTACAGAAGACCAAATGTAAAGGCATAATTTGAAAAAAAAACTATATAAAATTTCTCACACTATTAAATTCTATAAAAAATTGTGTTACATTATGAGTAATCCAGTAATAAGTGTGTTGTCAAATATATTTGTGTGATTAATTGGGAAAAAAGTGCAGTTTTGCCTTAAATACTGTTTTTTAATTCATTTTAAACTTAATGAAACACCATATCCTGCAATTCATTTTAAAATACTGGACCAATACAGTTTTGTCGGGCATTAATTGCAGACAGGAGAAAAATATTAGAAAATTACTGCATAAAAATCACTCTTATTCAATAATAAAATATCATGTGCCAGATGCCAATCATTGTGTTTCATTTTTTAGGGATTAATGCTTTCATTGAACAGAAGGGCATTTTAAAATGACTTGCCAATTATGTGAATACTCACCTGGCATTAAATGATTAAATAAAAATAAGCAAATTGTGTGTTGCCTGTCAAGCTGCAGAATTTCAATAGAACTTACAGTTTCACATGTACATATATACATCAATGTACAGTTTATGTTTACAAAATCAAAACAGGCTGAGTGTTCACAAAAATTTAAGGTTCAGGATCAAATTAAAAACTAATATTCTTCATTGCAATGTTTATCCTCAAAGATTATATATCAAATATTAATTTGATGAAGTTGGGTTTGCGATGGCAAGTTTATGAAATTTTAGATAAATTTATTGTTATTTTTGTAAGAAAAGGGAATTTTACAGTTGATCCAAATATTGATCCTGATCCTAAAATTGATTCTTATTTTGAAGTTAAAAGCTTGAACAGGACCTAAATGTGTTAGTCATAAATTCTATAAACTTATTTGTCAGACATGGAACAGAGCAAATGTCACAAAAACTTTTACTATTTATGCCAACAAATCTCAGTACATGTAATTCACTAAAAATGTATCAGTTATTTGGTGTAAGATTTGAGAAGGAACATTGGATTTACATCTTTTGTCCCTGATTTGAACAACAAAATATAGATTTTAAGTCATTTTGATCAAAGTATATTGCCCTTAATTTTTATACCTAGGGTATCAAAACTTTGTTAACAAGCTTGTTATTCATATTATATTACTTGCATTAAAATTGTTTATTCATAAATAAGCATTGTATATATCAGTGTATGAAGTTAAGTCAAAGAAAGATATTTTATTTAAAACATTTCTTTTTTTCTTTTATGAAAATTTCCCAATCCGTAATTGCATGTCCGAATAAGTTACATCCGAAATCAGATCTATTTTCGACAACACATGAATGTATTTTAGTACACATTATCAGTGTAAATGACAACTATCAACAATTGATTTTACGATTAAAAGAAAACAAATCATGTGTTTTAAAGTTTAAACCCTTGAATAGTGTCCAGTTTTAGCAAGTATTTTCATTGCAATATTGCAGTAGGCTGGAAAAATCGGCAATGGAGTTGGACTTCCGGTTTCACTTTATGCAAGTTTAATTAAGATTTATTTGCTAATAAAAGTCTGTTTTCAGATTTATTCCAATCATTTATTGTGTTTCTACTGAAAAATTAATAATTATCACGGAACATCAGTATTTGACAGTCAAATTATGTTCTCAGTTTTTGGTATTACTTGAAAATTTTACAAATTTCAGCCGGCCAAAAAGTGTTTTTAAACGGTCATTTCGGCCGGCGGCCGGCTCTTATTGAGAACCCTGTATCTATGTTTCTTATTATCACTCAACATTTGTGAAAAAGTTCAATACTCTAGCAAGACTATTTCCAGAATTATTCCCCTTTTGAACTTACACTTTTTTCGAGAAATTGGTAATTTTTACTCCAACTTTTTCAATCATTATAGGATTTTCTTCAAACTCCCACATCATAATAATATGACAAGGTTTATAAATCTAGCATCCATATTTCCAGAATTATCTCCTCTTTAAACTTTGAATTTTTCTCATTCATTCTTTTCACTTTCTTTTACTTCAAATTAAAAAAACCATTCATTATCAACACCTTCATTACTAATTGTTCTTTGTTACACTCACATCATGTATGACGTCTTGCATCTTTATTTCAAGAGTTATCTCCTTTTTAAGAATGTTTCTTTTAAAAATGTTATATTTTGATAACAGGGATGTTTAAAGAAATAACTTTACGAGTGTCCTTCAGTCCGTCTGTCTGTCTGTACATAAAAAAACTGTTTCCTGTGATCACTTTTAAAGAACTTTTTCAACAAATTAGAAACATAAGTGAATGGCCCTTCAGAATGTTGCTGGGGTTCTAACCGGTAGGGGACTTATGGATTGCTTGCAATACTATGATAATTGCTTGTTAAAAATGATATTCATTGGATAATTTATTTTTTTATTTTTTTTTTAAATTTAATCTTACAATCTCGGGATAAGTATTTAATTTAATTGCATTTTGATTGTCAAAGGGAATTTTTACTTGTTTCAGACCAGATATAAAATATATTTAGACTGTTACTAATACTGCTGTGTGGCAAAAGACAATTCCATCTTATTAAACATACAAGTCAACCACCATTAAGAACATTGGTGATAAATGATTAATGTTTGGAAATTTCTAGCTATTATTGATGTATGCTAATAGCTGTCTGTTTTTCTTCTCTTTCAAACAGGTTGCCAGAGACTTTGAAGAAGAGATGGATCTATTTGCTGCACAACTTCTGCCAGAACTAAGACACTTAGAAGCTACAATATCAGAAAAAACAACCATGACATTGATTTTATCCGTTGTATGCTGCAGAGCCATGGAGCTGTTTGAACCGATGGCAACCATTGCTAAGACACTGGTTTCTCAACCTGACCATTTGATGCCATTGCCAGACCAGACTGTTAATCTGCCAAATTCCAGGCTCTCTGTAGGTGGTGAGTGCATTGAAGAAGAGGATCTTAAAACACTGGATTATGGACAATGGCTGAATGATAAGGTACTTTAAATCACTATTTACTCTTGTTTTAAAGTAACAACTGTTCTTGATGATGATTCAGCTTATAAGAATATTACATGGGCCACCTGTGTGGACCATAATAGCTAGCTTGAGGGTTACAGTTCAAGGCAGTACTAGGCTCTGCTTTAACACAAGGCCATTCTTTCATTTTATTAATCAAAAGCTCAAAAAACAAGTACAGGTCCCAGCAATAATGTTTGATTCAAAGCTACTCTTATACATATATTTAGACAAACATAGGTACATTTTTGCAATGGAAATCAACTGCAAATGATAATAGTAGTAATAATAATTTATTTATATATTTGTGTATTGTCTATTTTTGAACATTTCAAGAATTGTTTGTGGAAATAAAGTCAAGTAGAAATAAAGGTCTTGAGAACCATTTTCAGGGAGTTATCTCCCTCTTATGTACAAAGAGCATATTAAAACCTGAAACAAACCAATGTCAATGGAATACTTGTTTAATATTATGTTGATTTATATTTCATATCATTTGCAGATAGAAAATGCATTTCTTGGATTGCTCAAAACACAAATGAATGTAACTGACATATTTGTGTTCCCATCTTACACAGCGGTATTATGGGAGAATGGCAACCTTGGCCATTGGCTATTTAAAAAGGTAAAAATAAACCCTTGTAAAATATTAATATAATTTTATTGTCCAGACATAAGCCTGTTAGTCCGGAAGTTTATTACGTGAATACAAATCTTGGTCATACTAATTTTGAAAATGGTCAACTTTATTCTGAACTTTTTTAAAGAAGAAAAAAAAGTAATTCTATGTACATGTTGTCATTGCCGTCCTTAAAACTTTTTTTTTTAAAAATTCTTAATGGATTACCTTCATACTTGGACACAACAACACTTTGGACAAGCCATTCAAGTTGACCAGACTGATCTTGACCTTCACTCCATAAATGAACTTTGATACTTATTAAAGACGTTTTCCGGAGTTTTCATGAAGACATATAGGCAAATTTAATTAAAACTGTTCTGAATCAATAGAATTTCTTTAAATTTGGCATGTTATCAGAATATGATAACTGAAACATTTTAAACAGAAAAAAATTTGGGGTCACCAAACTCCGTTTAAACGCTTTTCACTCAAATCCGACTAAGAAAAGCATAAAGATATGATTTTCTATTTATTTCAAAGTATATTTCTTAACTATATTTGCATATATTTGTGTTTAAAGTGCCCCACCTCATTTATGTAAGAAATTCAAATGTTATGTTTTTAGGCTTTTAAACCTCAGTGGAGTCCCTTTGTCTACTTTCTGTTTTGTCTCTTGATTATGAACTTATTGATCTTATAGTTATTTATTTTTACTTAACATGAAAAATATTCCATAGAAGTAAAATGACACATACCTTCTTGTTGTTTACCTTCCTCAATATTGGATGGAAGCACCGAATCACGGAAAATTTGCACTGTTTCACGTACCCGACAGTGATCAACATTCCTGTAAACTTTCATGACTCTACTTCAAATACTTTTTGAGCTACGTGTGACACAAGTTGAAAATTGAAAATTTTTCCTAAGTTAAGGGCAATAATACTTTTTGAGCTACATGCGACACAAGTTGAAAATTGCAAATTTTTACCAAGTCAAGGGCAATAACTTTAAAAATACTAAATATATCCACACGAAAATACCCAGGTGCACAACTTCACATGCTGATAAACATAAAGTTTCTTGACTGCTAGGTCAAATAATATTTGAGCTACGTGTGACACAAAATGTGAACAGATGGAAGCGATGGACAGGCAAGCGTAAATCTAAATCCCCCCCCCCCTAAAGTGGGGGCACAAAAATACAATTTACCTATAACATGAGAGTTAAATAATTTATACTGATACAGAAACTTCTGGATTTCTCTAGCCACTGTTTATATACCTTATCAATATAAAAGTGTTGTATAGCCTTATCAGTATGAAAAATATGGTTGGATATACAAATTAATGCAATTTTGAACATAACAGTAAAATGTTTATGCTTAACTAAAATATTTCAGGGACAGTTTCTGAAGTTCAAGCATCTTATCTTACCAATAAATGTCAATGGTAATCATTAGGTTTGACTGCATGCCAACACAAGGGACAGAACTGTAACTATACTGGATTCTATGAATGATAAAAGTGCAGAGAAATTCATCAGTTTATGGAGGTATGTACAGCTGAACTTCTTTCCCAACAGATATTAAACTGAATTTTGCTATATTACTGAATTTTGTCCAAGAACTATAAAAAAATTGTGCCGTTCGTGGTAGGTTCAATCAAACCAAGGCACATTTTCATTTTGCCGCTTCGGGCATATTGCTTGTGGGATGGATTCTGGTTTCCCTCTATTTTTAAGTAATTTTGGTTGCTTGAACTTCACCTACGCAACTGTCCTCAGTATTGTTTTCAAGATGATAAACTCAAAATTGATATGGAGTCAGTGTAATACAAATTGAAATTCTTCTTTGAAGAACTTTCTTTCTTCATCGTGTATAGTATAATTATATTTCATTAAGATGTACCTATAATTACATTGTATTTTTGTTCGTGCGAAATCACGGCCGAGTTATAAAATAAAAAAGGCAGTTTAGAATTTTCACCTAATGATCACAGATGTTAAAAAATCCAACTTTATAATTTCTAATTTGACATTTTAAACAGACACAGTATCTGACGTTGGATATCATAAACTATTCAATTTCTAAGTAAGGTTATCAGAAATTCCTTTTTGTATTCGCTGCGTTAGCAGTGAATACAGTTCTATCACAATTTGCGGGATTGCAATAGAAGAATGGGTACCGAACAACGCAAAGTAGTTCTACACAGATTTTCTTGTCACACACAAGTGATAAGATTTTGAATTGTCAGTAGTTCATTTTTAGCTCGACTTTTCTATGAAAAAGGGGAGCTATCCTACTAGCCCCGGCGTCGGCGTTAGCGTTGGCGTCACACCTTGGTTAAGTTTTTCGTACCACCCCACTTTATTTCAGAAGTATTACAAGTATGGCTTTGAAACTTACCATACTTGTTCACCATCATAACCTCCATCTACAGACAAGAGTACATAACTCTGTCAAGGTTTTTGACAGAATTATGGCCCTTTTTTGACTTAGAAAGTGTATTGAGCTTGGTTAAGTTTTTTGTACCACCTCACTTTATTTCAAAACCATTGGAGGTATTGCTTTGAAACTGACCATACTTGTTTACCATCACGACCTTCATCAACAGACAAGAGGACATAACTCTGTCAAGGTTTTTGACAGAATTATGCCCCTTTTTGACTTAGAAAATACATTGAATATGGGTAAAATCCACTTATTGCCTTAACCCTTTGAGATATTGCTTTGAAACTTTTAATGCTATTTCACATCATTACCCCATCTGTACGCAAGAGAAGGTAACTCTGTCAAGGATTTGTTTTAAAAATTAAGGCCTTTTATCGACTTAGAATCTTGGTTAAGTTTTTAGATACCAGTCCACTTTTTGACTGAACTGTTTGAGATATTAATTTTGAAATTGGAATACTTGTTTACCATTCTTGCCCCAAACATGGGCCCGGAACAGAATAGGTAAATTCTGTTAAGGATTTTATTTAAATTATGGCCCTTTTTGACGCTTAGAAACCCTCATTTTTAAGTTTTCATTTTTGGTCCACTTGTTGATTTAAACCATTTAAAGATATTCCCTTTGGGAATTTGGGAAAGTTCTTATGTGCCATCATAAACCCATCTGTAACAAGAGAAGAAAAACTCTTTTAAAAAAGTTTTTTGATTTTTTATTTTAAAATTTCCTAGTTAAAAGTCTTGGTCCCCTTAACTGTCAAAGTTTTTTTTTTATAGGCAAGCACAAAAAAAGTCGAGCGCCCCTTTTCCTTCTGAAAAGCTCTTGTTAAATTTGTTATTTCTATCGTATATTTTTTTGCATGTTTTCGGGAATATAATCAAAAAAAAATAGGCATTAGTTTTTCCATTCCCGCGAAAAACTTTCCCGTAAGGAAAAAGTAGTTCGTGCCAAAAAAAAAGTTTTCTACTTTGAAACTGATTTTCATCTTTTTCTAAAATTTGGGTACAGAAAACTTACCAATTTTTTAAAAACTTAATTTTATTCTTTTTTGGGAAAATTTTAATTTTTGGATTTCATGATGCTTTAACAGTTTTATAATTCAGGTGCCCTTGATATATTTTTTTGTTTTTTTGAGTTTTTTCCCTTTTTTTTCCCAAAAATTTAAACACTATTTTTTTGTCTATGTTTAAGGGGTTTTGTTTGTAAAAAGTTCAAAGTGTTTTTTAAAATTTTTTGGGAAATAGGGGATTATTGATATTTGGGTTTCAGTATTTTTTTAAGTTGCATTTTTTTTAAATTTTTTTATAGAGTTTATTCATAATGTTTTTTTAAATTTTATGTATATTATAAAGTAAGGGAGTGTGGTCTGATTCGAAATGTCATCAGTTTTCGTGATTTGGAACCTTTGAGAATTATTTTTCAGAAAAACCCGTTAATCTAGCTCTCTGTTTACTTAATTTCACAATTTATTCATATCACTTTGGCACATTGTGTTTATTTAATTTGCAGAAGTTACAGCAGAGAGTGAGAGAGTTTGACAGTATGCGTGTTTGAAGAAGATAATGCTTTTTTTATTGGTACATTCAATTCCACAAACTGGTGAGTTTAGAATTTATTTATGATTATGATGTATTTTATAATAACTTCATTAAATGAACTTATGATTGTGGCGGCCAATAGAAAGCATATAGCTATATTATAAGTTAATATACCTACAGGTTATATAAGCTGTTCAATGTGTTGTAAATATTTAATACCCGATAACACTTTCACAGAACTAGGGCAGACGAGAGGCTTTTCTTATCAGTAGTTTTAGGAATAAAGATACCGGATTGTTTTCTCACTACATAAATTGTATGTAAAATGGTCTGACATGTGGTAGGCGTTAACTGTTCATTTGAAATACTTTTTGGAGTCAAAAAGAATGTGTTGAAGAATGATATACTGTGATGAAGCTAAGATCCAACGTTTGCTATTGGTGTAATTCTTTTTAAAAACCGGACATTTAATCAGAAAAAACTAGTTTTTTGGGTTTAAGCATAAAAAGATTTTCCAAGTTTACTCGAAATAAGGGGAAAAACTTTTTATTTTTTCCCCTTGATTTTTACCCTGGGTTTTTACGTAAACATATAGAAAGTGTGAAGGGTTTATTGTAATTACCAAAAAATTTGGGGGATTTTTTTTAAAAATGATTAATTTTTGCATTTTCAGAAAAAAGGAAATTGATTTAACTCTATTTTTATGTTGATTTTAATTTTGGGTTTAAATTTTCCAGAGCTGGTTGATTTCCTCCGGGATTTCCATTTTTTTTGACTCGATGATTCATTCTTTTGATTTCTAATGATCAATCAACTTTATTGATAAATTTGATTTACGGATTGATTGGACATGTCATGGAGCTAAATATAGATGGAGAAGTAACTTAGACGTCATACAGTTTAAAATTCAGTATTTATTGGGGTTTGTTCTAGTGCAAGTTATCATGTGTTTCGGGATTTTCCAAGATTTGATGGCATCCTGGGTAATAGTAGCAAAATACCTGCCATATTCAATTCCAAGAGGAACATTGACAAAAAAAAAGACGAAGCATTTTCTACTTTACATAAGAAGCAATAGTTATTTATGTTAAAACGTACCATAACACACTTTTCCACACAGATATTTTTTTTACTTGAAAAATATTATTTTTTACTATGACTTTTTTAGTTTCAAAGGCATCTACCTCTTACTTCAAATACATATTCCTTATCATCAATTACATCTTATGTGACTAGGTTCATAATTACTCTTAAAGCAATATTTCCCAGGTTAATATCCCTTTGAACTTTTTTTAAAGAAATATTATAAGTAATTTAATTTACTTTTTAGCTCACCTGAGCAATGCTCAGGGTGAGACTATGTGATGGCCCTGTGTCCGTCGTCGTGCGTCCTCAACTTTTAACATAAAACAACTATCTCCTCTGAAACCAATGACTGCAACATCCATCGACCAAACTTTACAGAAATGATCTTGGGTGGGCCCCCTTTCAAAAGTTGTTCAATGGTTCCGGTCTGTTCCCATATGTAGGTCATAGGCCATTTTGCAGAAAAAGATTTCAAAAAAACACAAAATTAAAAAATCTTCTTGTCTGAAAGTACATGGGCCAGAGCTTTGATTTTTGGTAATAGGTATCATTATGGGTCCTCTACCAAAGTTTGTTTCAAATTTTGTCCCTATTTCAAAATTGGCCCGCCCTGGGGGGTCATAGGGTTTTTCCTTAATATATGTATATAGTAAAATCTAAAAAAATCTTTCTTCTTCTGATTTGGCAAAGGCTACAGATTAGATTTTGGGCATGAAACATTGTGTAGTAGACCTCTATCAAGATTGTTCAAATAATGGCCGGGGGTCATTGATTCTCATTACATACATATAGTGAAAACTTGAAAAATCTTCTGGTCTGAAGTAAAATGGCCTAGAGCCTTTGATATTTGGTCTAGTGGTATCACCTATAGGTCCAAAACCAAACTTGTTCTAATTTTGTTCCTAGAATTAAAATCGGCCCCCCCCTGGGGGGTCATTGATTTTTCCCTATATGTATATAGTGAAAACTTAAAAAATCTTCTTTTAAAAACCCAGAGCTAGAGCTAAGAATATTTAGCATGAAACATCTTCTAATGGTTGTCTACCAAGTTTGTTCAAATAAAAGCCCTGTGGTCCAAAATTGCCCCGCCCCAGGGGGTCATTGATTTTCCCTATATGCAACATAGTAAAAAACTTTAAAAAAAATTCTTTTAAAGAATGTAAAGAGCTAGAGCTAAGATATTTAGCATGAAATATGTTCTAATGGATGTCTACCAAAGTTTCGTTCAAATAAGAGCCCAGGGGTCAAAAATTGGCCCCGCCCTGGGGGTCATTCATTTTCCTTATATGCAATATAACAAAAAACTTAAAAAGATCTTTTTTGATGAAAAAAATCAAATAGCTAGAGTTTAAGATACTAAGCATGAAACATCTCTAGCGAGTGTCTTCCAAGTTTGTTCAAATAAAAGCCCTGGGGTCAAAATTGCCCCGCCCCGGGGGTCATTCTCATTTTCCTTATATGTGTATAGCAAATACTTAAAAATTTTCTTCGAAAAAGCCTGAATAGCTAGAGTTCTGATATTAAGCATGAAACATTGTCTAGTAAGTGTCTACAAAGATTGTTCAAATA